AAAAAACCAGTTACAAATGAACAGACTCAAACTTAGCAACCTAATCACAATTCATTTTTTAAACTTGTGGATTTTTAGAACACATTTCCTCTAGTCTCTTTCCTTCAGTCCCACACATATCTTGCTATGTTATGCTGTTGATGCACTGGTTCAACTCAGGATAAAAAAGGAGGAACAGGTCACGGGTCTGTATGCACTCTGCTCCTACCACTACCCAGTGAAAGCATTATGTGTGACCAAAGAGCCCTGAAGTTATTCTGAAATCATATAATCAGGGTTCTCAAAGTGGGATTAGGAACATGGCTGGTTTCACTTTAACCTTGATGGAAATGTATGTATAATGTTAGAACTGGGAAGAGGAGAGTGGGAATATGAGTGTGAAAATTGGGGTAGAAGGATAAGAACATGTTGCCTGATGCCAAAACCCAAGTTCACTTGTTGATCAAAACAGGCCATAATCTTTAATCCAGTCAGTGTTAACATGACCAGAGTTTACATGAACAAGATTTAGCAAACCAGTTTTAAATCCTAGTTTCAAACACTTATGAACAGCTAATCCTGATTAGCTTTTGTTAAGACATAAGACAGTTATGGGAGTAGGGGAGAGAGAGAGGACTTTGAGACAACGCCCATGGGACTGAATAATGTCCAGCCCCATACTCTGGCTCTCCTATAGATTCTTTAAATCCCAACTGCCCACAATCAAATAAAAAGGGGGACACAAGCTTTGATTCAAAGATTGTTGGTATATAAGCAATGTGCTCCCTAAAGGTCTCTTATTTGGAAACTTGCTAGATCAAAGCTGTAATTATTTATGAGGTAAACAGAAATAGCTTTTTCATAGATATTTCACTAGACAGACACAGATGGAGATGAACATCAAATGTTTATTTAACAGAAAATAATGTATTTAATAGAGTAAATGTTTTGTGTGGATGGCTGCACTATATAAGGTGAAACTGGCTCTCAACATCATCTGCATAAGTTACAAACTTTTCCCCAAAGAAAGTAACCACTCTGAAGCTGAGCCTCAGTCCGTAGCTCCCTGGGGGGAGACTGGATTCCCCTTTCTCCAGACAGGTTAACTCAGCTGACTAGGTTCCTGGGAATCTATTTCCATATCAGAAAGGATCCTCTCCAGGTTCAAAGTTGCTCTTTTAACACAGAGCTCCTGTCCACAGAACCTGTACATGTAAGTTAGAAATGTTGGACCTTTAATAAGATGCTGATTTGTTTCACTAAAACAAACTTTCATCCCTAAATCAACCCCTAAACCCTAACTAAAACCCAAGTAAAAGCCTGGCTAAACTGATGCTTTAATCCAGAGCCGCCAAAATTCCCTGTCTGACCAAAAACTTTTTTCCCTTAAGTTGAGGCTGGCTCACCACTTCCCATCCAGAGAAGTTCCATAGGTTCTGATTGGTTGACAATCACTTGGATTTGCATGAGGCCAAAATCACAGGACTTTTGGGGATGATGGCTACACTATACTACAGATAATTTTGACAAAGGAAAGAAAAAATTAACATTACTGAGAGGAAGGAGTGTATGAACCTGGAGCCCACTTCCAATCTTTTACCCAAAGCTAAGAGATCCAGGGTGTATATCTGTACTTAGTTATACATCATCTCAAAACTTTAAATAGGGAATTTTCCATAGCATTGCAATCTGTAGGCATATCCTACAATAATCTAGCAGTAGCAGAATACAGCTTTATGTTATAGTACTTGGTGTGTATAGAAGTTAGTTAAAAACTATACTTACATCTACTTTTTTCTGGTAATTCAAGCTTCTCACCACCTTTCTAGCTAAATGAAGTGCATGATCATCATCCAAAGCATAGTGATCAGTAACTCCAGATTTTCTGCACAGAATAAATACAGGACAATAGCGTATTAATAAGCAGGCATTTTTATCTTCTATTCAGTGAGAAAGTTTTACTGGAGTAATATATCAAATGTTCATAAACCCTGAAACATTGTAGGTCTTACCAAAGACACAAACAACATCTGAGAAATATATTAATTACATCAACAGAGAAACACATCAGCATGAAATCCACAGATAGTAGTAGCAGATGCCACCATTAAGAAAACATGCTCAATCTAGCAAAACTTAGACTTGTGGTGTGTATTTTATTTTACCTGCAGTGAAGATCAGCACCTCCAAGATCTTCTGCTGATACCTCCTCACCTGTTGCTGCTTTAACCTAAAGATAAAAGCGACACTTCAGAACAGCAGCTGATAGATAAAGTCATCCATTGGATTTTTTTTTCAATTTACCAGAAATAAATTGGCAAATTATGAAGTTTCATACAAACTCTTCAGTTATTCTTGGCTCTTTGCAATCTACTTTTGATATTTCTCAAGGCTGAGGATCTCACAAGTCCACAGGTCTGGATTTGTGAAGAGATAATCCTGGTTATCTTTAAAACAGGGAGTCTGAAGTTGGTAGAACTCTGGTTTAAAACCAGCCATTGTTAATGTTCAGCTTGGTGCAGATATAATGCCACACCATGTGCTTAACATTGAAGAAGTGTCCTCAACCAAACGTAAGAGACTGGGAAATGTTTCCTGCTAATTTTCTGCCCCCAAACATTTCCCCTCTGCTCTAATCAAGCTGATTACAATATGCATTTGTATAGGATTCATGCCCTCACGCCTGTCCAGGAATGAGGGGCAAGCCTATACTTTTCAGTACATTAAACAATAACCCAGAAAGGTATGCTACCCTCTCTGGATTTCAGAACAAAAGCCACCAGAACCTTTTTTAACTAGAGTCCCCTTCCAGCCCAAGAGCAAAGTTCAGAGTGTTAACTGGCCTCTGGGACTTAACACATTAGCAACTCTAGCTCAGAGATGCACTTAATCTTACATAGGTAGCATGTGGCCAGCTAGGCACAGGAGTTTAGCCTTGAGATCCAGTTACAACATCAGACAAGTTAGAAACCAGGATAAGTTTATTCAGCACAGAACTTAGCAATTAGACTACAAGGATTTCAAAACAAAAAACTTATGGCTCTTGGCCCTCACTAAACATTGAAAAGATATGCATAGTTACCAGGATGATCCATAGTCAAGAATGTCCAAGAATACAGTCCAATTAGGTCCCATCTTTGTGCAAGCGTGCAGCCATGTGCTCAGCCTCACAAAGGAGTTCTTTGTCTCTCCCAGAGACAGCATGGCAAGCAGGGGTCATTTCGTAGAAAAAGAGCTAGGGGAACTCATTAGCATAACTCATTAGCATATGCCACACCCCTGACATCACCGGAAGTGTGTCATAAGGCCACACCCCCTGACATCACCGGAAATGTGTCATAAGGCCACACACCCTGCCCCCAACGGTCCCGGCCGCCACCGCCGGCCTTGCAGGTCCACCGCCGGACCCCCGCGAAGGCCCTCCCTGGCTCCAGGCAGGCAGGGGTGGGGAGAGGCAGGGAGGAAGCAACTTACCCTCACTCTTCTCCTGCCTCCTCCTGGCTGAATGAGGGCCGGAAGCGGGGCGGCCGGAAGCAGGGGGCGGGGCTTTGTCATATGCCCCACCCCCGTACCTCACCCGGGGGAACTGCGTTCCCCCGTGTTCCCCCCCGAAATGACCTCTGATGGCAAGACAGCATTTCAGGTGTCCATCCGAGATCTCACAAACAGGAACAGAGAGCTCTCCTCCAAGGGATCAGACAGTTAAAAACCCCAATCTAGTCGCAAATTAGCCCTGACCAGGAGCAAATTGGAGTAGACATAGGAGTGTCCAATTGTTGAGTTGCCATGGGTGCAACATCTGAATGGCTAGAGCTCTGAAGGCCACACCTGCAGTCATGTGACCCCCAAATTCCAGCTAGTCCATGGGCTACGTGCCTTCTGACATGCTTCGGCTACGTGAGCTTCTGACATGCTTGGCAGAGGACATCTGATCTCTGTCAGCATGGAAGTGTGAAGAATGTGGGGTTATATGGCAGGGCTATTGAGGCCATTTGGCTTCAACAGGAACAATGCACAGCATGGTATCAGCAAGACATTCCAGGGGAAGGCAGGAAACCTTTAGGAATCAATATTTCTATACAGCATTGCATCTTTGCATAATTTAAAATTGTTCTTTACAACACCCCTCTTATCTTGTGACTAGGATAAAAGGACTCCGAGTTTTTCATTTCTACTCTACTTGTATCTGACGAAGGGAGCTTTGACTCTTGAAAGCTTATACCCTGACACTCTTGTTGGTCTCCAAAGTACAACTGGACTCAAATCTACATTTTTGCAATATTTTATGCAAGAAGCAACAAAACATACTGATGAAGCAACAAAGAAGCAACAAAACAGACTGAATATGGTGAGCAAAGAAAAGGGATAAATTAAAGATAACCAGATTAACCATGTGCATGGTGATGCTATCAAAGGAAAGGGATGCTTTAGAAGAAAGATGAGAAGCTTGGTCCTGGAGTTTGAGTACAAAATGACAACAAATTACCCTGTCGGAAATAACAGGCATGCAACTGGGGATACTGATTTGGATAGAGAGGAGAAGTTCTGGGGATGGAGATGTAACTATTCTTGCCAGCAGTATCAACGACCACTTGTATAAAAAACCTTGATTCTGAAAAAGACGCTAGGCTTACAAATAATCAATAAGCTCTTGTTCTTTTCCATTATTCTAAAGTGACACAATCAGTGTTTAAAATTCCAAGAGGAAATTAAATAACAAATTAATTAGTGCTAAATTGCACACTTTCGTCACCCAGAGGTTGCTATTGATTTTCTATGTCTTCCTTTGCTGATTACTTTATACCAAGAAACCATCACCGACAGAGGAAAACGTTATGCATACTAAAATCATCATTCTTGCAATCTAAGCAATACTATTTACATGTTTTTATTCTGCTGTAAGACATCTTGGTGTGTAAAAAAGAAATATGGTTATGGAATTCACTCAAGCATTTCTCAACAACTACAGGTGTTCAAAAAGTTATATTATATGTTTCTTATTGACAAGAAGCAAAGAATTCCAGTTAAGCACTCAACTGTATTATTGGCAGGGAACTAACATAATATTTTAAAAAGAGAAATAGCCTTGATATTAACCAGGACCCTGTGGGGAAAGGAGAGGGACTTTAATCCTCCACTTGGTTTTGTTAATCAAAACTGGGCAATCTGTGCTGTTATATTAGCATGGGGTAAAGGTAAAAAAGACATTTTTAAAGGGCATATCTCTTCTCCCCTTTAAAATGTTAACAAAGGCATAGGGAGTAGAGTTTCAAGTAATGATGCTGAGTGAGGTTTAGATCCCCTCTCAAATCAGGGCTTTACATAGGTAAAATTTGCTTTTACAGACACAGACAGATGTAGATCTGTGATCTGCATCATGCCTGTCTGTGTCCTCAACTTAATTTGTAGAGTACATTGTGAATGTACATCTGTCTATTAAGATTCTGGGTACAAATGCTGGTACTTCCAGCTAAGGCATTTCAGATAGCAAGACAGGAAAATGCCTTCTCCTATGGTACTGGACATGCTGGATTTGAACCCCTCAACAACAACGGCAGCAACAGCAACAGCAACAAGAAGTCATTCAGTACAGTCCCCATATGCAGCAACTGATGCGTTTTCAGCCTTGCATGCAAACACTTTCTAGACTTTTCCAGTTTAGACACTTAATGACACAGCTAAACAATGTAATGTAATGTACAAGGCATCCCCATTGTTATACATTCAGTTTGCATGATAAAATATTTTTCCAGTAAATATAATTTTACAAAGTTTAACATGCTTTCCTGTGTATGATCTATGTATTTGTTTCACTGATCATTATCAAATTCCCACAAAAAAGTTTGTAATAGAAATATGTAATTTTCGGTAGTATCAAAAAACTTGCAAGGAATCCGTAGTATTTTCAAAATCACCCACTCACCAATGGTGGTCCTCCCAAGAAAATTGTTCCCTGCTTGCCAACTATTATACTTTCATCTGCCATTGCAGGTACATAGGCTCCTCCTGCTGTACATGAGCCCATAACCACGGCTATCTGAAAGAATAAGCAGAAATAGTAATGAAAAGGACAGAAGGATTCAGTGGACACAAATGACCCATGTGCATTTACTTTCAGTTTTGCAACTCAACATATAACAACTGCTTCTTACTTTCCTCTCATATCTAAACTGAGGGTCAGTTCAGATGACCATGGTTTGATCTTGTAGGTCTTGCAAGCTCCCTCTTCACTCATCTTATTACAAACTGTGATTCTATTGGTTAGTACTTCTTCAGTACAAATCACAGCTCGCTGTCACATCCAAACAGATAAACTAGTTTGCACTTGCCCTCTCAATCAGGACTGCAAGCCATAATCTATAGTTTGCAATACTGATTTAATAGCAACCACAGCTCACTGGTTCATAATACATGTTTTGGCAAACTATGATTTTTGCTACACTGGATGTCACTAACCGATTCATACTGCACCAGGAGGGAAAGGATGTTGAAAGAATATGCAAGCACAAGACTCGTTCACATACTATCAAAACACAGTTTGGCATTATACCTGAACCTACTGTAATCTGCTCAGTGGAAGTATTTCTCCTTTGTTTTAGCCTTTTAAAATATGCACGCTGATGTTAGTGTAGGGATACCAGGTGCAAACTACAGTTACCCTAAAATCAGGGGAAAGCACAAGGATGCAGCAGCACTTCTCAGTGATGCAGCTCCAATAGTCCATTTGTCCCAACAGAACTAGAGTAGCAAGGCGGGCACCACTTTGTGGTGTGTATATCCAGCACAGCACGTGTGTATATCCAGCACAAACCCGTTGACAGCCAAGACACAAAATGCACATTTTTTCTTAAATGATACATTTATTTTCGTATGTAGAACAATAATGGAAACCTTTTATAACAAAGAAAAATGTACTGTAGTTGCAATATGGCATGAACAGAAAGCTCTTCTCAAACACACTTTTTCAAGAGTCAGTCGTTAGTAGAAGACCTGCAGTACAAGATATAAACACTATCCCAATTGAAGCACTTAGGCTTTGAAATGGGAAGAACAAAGCATGACATTTTAACTAGCATTACTTTTACAACATGGAGAAAGCTTCAGGCAGCAGTGAAGAAAAGGAGAACGATGTCACCTCCCGCTCCTGCAATCTCAATGGCTACTTATTCAAAGCAAATTCATTTCATAAAACAGAAGGTCAACCAGGCTTCACCATTAACTGAACAAGCCTGCATTATGCTCATTAAGTCTTCTGGAGAAACGTACAAAGCACCATTGGTAAAATGTTCATACCATCAAGACGTTTAAAGGCACAAAAGTCTTATCCTACTTTGATAAACATCATCGTGCTTATTCCCCCCATTCATTATTGAATATCAATAGAAAGGAACATTAGTTATTTACCCACAAAATTATATAAATCAATCTTGAGTTGGTGGAGGGAAAACAATGTATTATATTAGACTAGGAAAGAGGCCCGTTGTGGAAATAAATACAACGGCCTCTAGAAAGAGGCTCTGGGCGGGTGCCCCGGCCTTGGACACTCAGTGTCAATTTGCTGTGGCGACCTCAGCAGGGTATAATGACACTGAGTCCACCATTTTCTCCAGAGGAACTGATCTCTGCTACCTAAAGAACAGTTGTAATTTTGAGTGATCTCCAGCCCTCACCTGGAGATTGGCAACGATGGTTCCACAGAAGGGAATAGTTGGTTTGGAGGGTGGAGTCTATGGCTTTGTACCTGTCGAGGTCCCACACCTCCTGAAACCTCACCCTCTCCAGGCTCCATCCCTCACATCTCCAGGAATTTCCCACCTGGAGTTGGCAACCATATCTTCTTCCCAGCCAATCATCAACCTACCTTTATTTCCCCCTCACTCTTCAGCTTTCCACCCCCCACACACCTGCAGCCTCTCCCATGCTCTGAAGCCCTGACTGCTACGTCACATTGGCTGTCATATGGGGGCCACCTCAGCAGCATATAAGGATACAGAGCCCACCATTTTCTCCAGGGGAACTGATCTCTGCCATCTGGAAAGCAGTTGTAATTCTGAGTGATCTCCAGCCCTCACCTGGAGATTGGACACATTTTACCTCAGAACAGCAAAACTGTTTAGAATGTTAGAGGCAAAAGCCAATCAAGTCGCATATGCAAACGACCTCTGTATTCCGAGGAAGAGGCCAATAAGGCTGCATATGCAAATAACTTCTGACTGGCTATGGGGGGGAGAGGATTAGCAAAATGTTTAGAATGTTGGAGGCAGGACTCAGGCAAAGCAGCCAGTGGATAGGGAGACCCTCTGAATGACAGATCAGAGAGCGAACTGATTTTGGAGTGTGTGGAATGTTCTAGAGAAGTGCCACCACCATTCAGCTTTTATTTATAAGGGAGATTCTGCAAGGGACTATGTCAGATAACCAAAAATATCTATAAATAGAAGTCACTGAAGTATTATTTAAGAGTACTTATTGCATTATTATCAGACATCTTTCTTTCCAGGCCTCAAGATCAGGGAAATGTTGTTCTGCCAGTTTGCAGCAGAAGCTGCCTGAGCACAGCACTGATTGGCTAATACTCATATCCTTTCAAATCTATAACCATAGCTTCCTATGCACTGTTTGACAGGATTCATTTGCATTAATTTATGCAAGATGTTGAAAACTGTTTTGAGGATTTGAGGAAAGATCTCAGGAAAAGTGGACCCATAAACCATTAGGTGTGTCCCTGAATCACTCATACTAGTCAAAGACTGGATGCACAAAAGCTAGAAATGAAAGACGCCACTAATAGTCCTTGTTGGCTTAAAAGAAGATTCAAAGAATCAAGAAATCAGGAACTCCTGCGTAGCTGTTCACGGAATAAATCAGAAACCAGGACAATATCACACATGAACTGAAGAAGACTGAAGAAGATTAGCAAAAAACCACATATATAACCCAATATTTAGCTATCTTATTTCTAATCAAAGTTACCTGTGGAATTCTTTTTGAGGACATGATTGCTTGGTTATAGAAAATTCTACCAAAATGATCACGATCAGGAAACACTTCTGCTTGACGAGGTAAATTTGCACCTCCAGAATCAACTAAGGAACAGTAAAGATTAAAAATAATATAATTATCTACATGTAATCAGGGAAGGACAGCAAAATAATTTAGCTAACTGTCATACTGGGTAGTGAGAAAAGAGTCTCACTCTGTTCCTCCATTCAAGTATCTTAATGTGCTGCTGCCATTGCTACACTACAAACTGCAGCACTTGCACAAAGGTGCCTTGGATGAAGAGCTCTCCTCATCTCTTCATCTACAGGCCGTTATTCAAGCCAGTGATATCGCAAAGGAAGCAAAAAGCAAGGGAAACCATAGGGCATACAAAGGAAAGGAAGCCAGCCTCTGCTTTAAGTATTTCTGTCTATCCCCTCCCCAATTTAAGAACTTATCTAGTAACAGAACAAAAACACTATACATTGACATTTATTAATTAGAACATTTATATCCCACCTTTCCTCTTAGATCAAGGCGGCTAACAATAATAGGTAAAACATCTCCAGCAAAAACCAAATTTATATATAGCTTGAGTTAATATTTCATGCACATGCTCAGTAATTCTCCTCTACTATCCTTCTTCATTATAATATAGTAGGGAACATGTACAAAAATCCACCAACTGCACCTTCAATTCACCCTAATTATGTTTAAGGATGAGAAAAACCCATGTGTACCGTATAAAAAGCATCATGCTTCCATAACCAAAGCATGCATAGGTCAAAACAGATGTGTCATGACACTACCACCTCAAAAATAAGCTCCTAAACTTTGACCCTCAACAATTCATAGCAATTGTAATGAAACTCACCAAGATACAGGCAAGGGAGATGATTTTGCATTGCAATTTCTTGTGCCCGTAGATGTTTCTTCACTGTGATAGGATAGTATGTTCCACCTTTGACAGTTGCATCATTGGCAATAATCAAACATTCCACTCTGAAATATAAACATTCTGTGTGAAATACATAATTCTCAATTTGTTTAATGTCATTATTGTTGTAATATTATCACCCAGCCTTCCTTTAGCTCCAGCAGCAGCATTTCATGGAGAACTGTGGGAGTAGGGAGGCAAGAAAGTTCCATTCTGCTGATGGAAAACCAAGTCTGGATCTCCCTTATGAGTGGTCCCTACTTTCACCAAGCTACAATGCATCATTACTTTCTCACAGCTACCAAACTAGTATGCCATACCTCATTTGTTTTAATGGAAGCAGCATTCTTTGTCAAATAGTTCCTGGACAGTATAAAAAGTAGCCATTAAACTGGCCTTCTTGTTGTTGCAAACTATTAACTGCTAGATCAATATGGGTAGCCATGTTTGTCTGTAGCAGTAGAAAAGAGGAAGAGCCCAGTAGCATTTAAAGACTAACAAAATTTGTGGTAGGGTATGAGCTTCTGTGAGACTCACGAAAGCTCATACCCTACTATGAATTTTGTTAGTCTTTAAGGAGCTACTGGACTTTTACTCTTTTCTACTGTTAACTGCAAGTTCACTTCTTCATGATATTGTTGAGTTTTTATGTTGAGATTGTTTTTGTTTTTGTTTACTATTCAGAACCTTCCTCCTGAGTTTCTTGAACTAAGAGCCTGAGGTAAAAACATGACAATTTCCAATAAACTCATTCTGACTATCAAAAGGCACACTGGATTGCTAACAAAATAAAATATTGGATGACAGATCTGATATAACAAGCAGTATGATTTAAGAACAAGAGAACACTTTTTGTTCTCTTATTATATACTGTCTCTTGACAGTTTTATCAACACTTCCAAAATACAAGGAAGTCAAAAATGAAATGAAGAGACAAAAAACTTCCAGTAGCACCTCTCACCCTGAAACACGTCCAATGCCTGTAATCATGCCTCCTGCAGGGACCTCTTCACTGCCATATAGCTGGAAACCTGCAAACTGGGAGAACTCCAGGAATGGAGACCTACAAAATGACAAAAATGTCAGGAAAGTTATTCACATGGAATATGCCTGACACTAATCAGTGCTTTAGGGAAGATGGACTTCTAAAAAACTATTTTAATTGTGATTTTGCAATAAAATTACAGATATACTAAAAGTAAGCAATAAATATGAACAACATTATGATAGCATATCAGAGTTTATTTTCAATACAATGATCCATAAAGCACCTTCTCATACTTTTGGCTAAGATCAAGTATAGCATCATGGGTTAAACAAACACTGAAACTTAAAAACTAAACCCCTATTGTAGCATACCAATAGTTGTTTTGCAAAATTTAAAGGTCGTTCATAGTTTTTTCAAGTGTATTACACTATTCATATATTAAAACAACTATATTTCAGTGGACACTTATATGATAGATTGATTTTTCCAATGAATTCATGTGTTTTAGAAATCTGTGGAATGTGATGCACTGTTGACTATTTTCAGCTTTACTGAAATTTTACCAAGGATTAATATTTCCCATATTTTGTTATATTACTTTTAAAGTGTGAGTACCTTTGAGTTCCCCCCCTCCCAGCTACTATCAGAAACTCTGCAGCTATTAATAATAGTGAGGTAAATTCTAATCTTATTTTTGGAAAGCTTCCTAATAAAATCATATCTGGATCTAACCTCACCTAATGAGTAATTTCCCTAATATGTAAAGCCACTTTCAGCCAGAACTGATGTATTTTTTCATAGTTTTAACAACAATCCATGATGTAGCTACCTATTTTCCACATACTCTCTATCACACCCGTGGCCAAATATGATGCAATCTGAGAGACGTTAAATACCACTGGCCTATTTTTATTGTTTTCCACCAGCAGGTGAAGATTTTTTATTTTGAGGAAAGAGCACAGGGAAAGTGAAGAGGATCCATAGACCGTTAGATGTGTCCTTGAATCACTCATAATAGTCAAGGACTGAATGAACAAAAGCTGCCTACTGACTGGAAATGGAAACAGCCACAAGGGAAGTTTGTATGTGTATTGTAGTTTACCAAATGTTTTTATAAACTAATTTGTTAATATTCCAAGGGCTAGCTGCGGGAGTATATTTCACAATATTTTCTACTATTTTCCATTTATTTGCATATGAGGATTCTCAATGCCATGTTATCTTGCCTAAATTTGTGTATAACAGTGATTCATTTACAGTGTGTGTGTCTACTCAGAATTAACTTCTTAAATTGTGTCAAGGGGCTTAATACACTCTTCTCAATACCTATAGCACCAAACAATTACAGACGTCTTAGGTGAAACTAAAGTGAGTCCAGTGGCACCTTTAAGACCAACAAAGTTTTATTTTGGGTATAAACTTTTGTGTGCACGCACACAGTTTTAGGTACACTGAAAAAGAAGAAAGACACCAACCATTATATATAGGTAGAGGGTTGGAAGGGTGTTGCCAAGAAGGGCTAATTAGAGACAAGATGCATGTGAGCAATAAATATACCTCAGACTGGATGAAGACTATTGGTAAGATCTGTGACTAACAGCAAATTAGCTTACAGCATAATAAAAAAGTTTACAAACAGATGTGAGAACTGAATGAGTTAGCATGTGTAGTGAGATAAGAAACCGATATCTCTGTAAAGCCCTGGGGGTTATATTGTCCCGAGTGTTGTAATAACTTGTAATTCAGCAATCTCCTGTTCTATTCGGTTTTTGAAATTCCTTTGCAATAGAACAGCTACTTTGAGATCCACCATTGAATGTCCTGGAAGGTTGAAGTGTTCTCCTACAGGTTTCTCAGTTTTGTGATTCTTGATGTCAGATTTGTATCCATTTATCCTTTGGAATAAGGTTTGACCTGTTTGCCCTATGTAGATAACTGAAAGGCATTTAATGGCATATACAGTGTTAAAATAGTATAGTCGATGTTTTTAGGTTCAGTGATTGTATTGTCTGGGTTTTTGTGGCAGCAAAGTTCGCATCTGGGTTTACTGCAAGTTCTGGTACCAGTGTCCACGTTTATTTGTTTATTTATATTCTAATTTATATCCCACCCTACCCCACCAGAGCAGGCTCAGGGCAGCTTACACAAAATTAAATACAGATTAAAACAATCATATCACCAAAGCCATTAAAACAATTAATTAAAAAATACAGTATTAAATATTAAAGTGCTAGCAATGTTATTCCAATAGCATAACAATGGCGTTGCTGTGTGAGTGCATACCATATGGTGTTCATTTCCAGCATTGAACTTGCTTGGCACGCACAAGCTGTCGATAATTCACCAGGAACCAGGCTCTACAGTTTTTACTAGTGATGGTAACTAATGATGGTGGCAGCTCCTAAATGAAAGCCTGGTGGAAGAGCTCCGTCTTGCAGGCCCTGCGGAACTGTAAGAGGTCCCACAGGGCCCTGATCTCCCCCAGGAGTTCATTCCACCAGTACAGAGACACCACTGAAAAAGCCCTTGCCCTAGTGACAGCCAGCCTGGTGTCCTTAGGGCCTGGGAGGGCCAGTCAATTTTGATTCCCTGACCGTAGTGCTCTCTGGGAGATATATGGGGAAAGGCGGTCCCTCAGGTAAGTCGGATCCTGGCCATAAAGGGCTTTAAATTAGTTGTTGTATTTTTGTGGGTGAGTTGTTGTTTAAGACTGGG